GGAGCTTCTCGACGTTCCTCTGCAGGCCGATGCGGACATCGTTGGCAGGGCCCTTGAGTGCGCGGCGAACCTCGGAGCTGATGCGAAGGGCATTAGAGTGTGTGTAATCGATCGCTGAGAGCTGTTGAGATAGCTTTGCGCTGAGGCGGTGAGGTAGCGACTTGGGCACGGAAGCCAGGACGTATGATACTCCGAGAGCAACTAGAGACGTTAGTATAGATCAAGTAACAGCGAAAGGATGTGCTTACCACCAGCGATGAGACCGGGAATGATCAGTCTCCTCATGTTGCTCGTACCCATGACCTTTGCAGCACCAAGGGCACCGTCTAGCCAGCCGACGCCGCCGACTAGCCTGCCACCGACTACACCAGCGACAGTCATGGCCATACCAGCACCGGCAGCCTTTTCTTGTCGCTCCCACAGACTGGCGACATCGAAGAAGTCCCATAGGTCGATGTCGATGTCCACCTGGCGGGCGAGAGCGTGCACTGACTTCCTAAACATCCTCTCTGGGCGGAACATGACATCGGCATACAGGTTGTTGCCAAGATGCAAAACACCCAAGTTCTTAATGCCATTGTAGCCTTGTACCGCTTGGGTTCGTGCATGTTCTTCGCACAAGCGAACCGCTTCGGTGATCTCGTGGAGCATGGAGTCTCTGATATCCTCGGCGTACTGGTAGGCTGAGAAGAGGCCAGGGTATTCGATGCCAAGATCCTGCTCTGCAACCCTAGCGATAGAGTTGTTGAGCGTGTCCCGCGTGTGGCCATAGACGTCTGATGTTGTATCTTCGACCATACGATCAACTGCCTCTCCGGCTTCTGTCCGTGACTTCTTTGACTCTTCGAACTCGGGCTCGAGCGCCTGGATCTCCTTGGTGACACGGTCCAATTCGCTCTGGGAGACATCTCGGTTGACAGTGGCAAGGTTGTTCATGTCTCCTAGCACGTTGAGGAGATAGGTCTTGGCGGGTGCCAGCTTGGATCGCGCCCTCTTCTCCAATACGAAACGTCGCAACGAGGCCTCGAGATCAGCAAAGTCGCGCTGCTTCTCTGCTTCTTTGCCCTTTCCTTTGTCAGAGGGGTCATCGTCGCCGTCGTCATCCGGGGGGCTCCCTCCTCCACCCATGGGAATGGCGTTACTGGAGACGAAATGCACCAGTTCGCTGGACTCCTTGAATGTGGCGGGACTGAGATTGGCGACTTGCTTCAGGATCATTTCCTGGCAACGGTTCTGATCGCGGATGGTGTCGAAGCCGTTGACCACCATGAACATGTATGCCTTCTCTCGCGCAGCGGTGAAGATGAAGTTCTTGGCGGACTCGGTGAAGTGGTTGGCGGCAGAAACGACGAAGACGACAACGTCAATCTCTTCTTGGCGAGCGAAAACGGCGGTTGTCTTCAGAGAGTCGGCGTTCAGACCAGGGGCGTCAATGAGAGCGATGTCGACGACTCCGTTGTTGAGGAGAGATTCGTCTACGTCGCGGATGTCCTTGACGTAGATCTTGCATTGTGAGAAGTGGTCGTTGTCGATGACGATCTTCTCAAGGTCCTTCAAGTCGAATACAACATAGGTGCTCTCGTCGTTACGGTTGTATGTCGAGCCGATGGGAATCGCATGGACCTCTTCGACTCCGCCGTTCTCTCTGAAGTCAAGCACCTCGCAGAATATGCTTGTGCAGGGCTGCTGGTCTTCGGGAAGGACCTTGCGGCGGAGGAGGGCGTTGCAGAAGGTTGACTTTCCGGCGTTGAGATCTCCGGTGACGAGGACCTTGCTCGATGTGTCCTCGATACGCTCTTTGAGAGAGAAGAGGTGGCGTATGCTCTGCTGGATCTGTCCGTCGAGGAGAGAGGCAACCGAGTTCTTCTCGAGCGAGTGTACCAGGTCTGTCTGGTTCCGGCCTCCCATGCGCAATTCCAACTTCAGGACGGAGAAGTCGTGGGCCAGCTGCGGCGTGACCAGTCTGGGCTCCTCCTTGCGTTTCTGTTCGGCGGCTGAGCTCGATTCGCCGAAGTCGTCTCCAATCGTCGTGCCCGCTCGGCGGGGTCCTCGCGGTCGTTCGGGGGAGCGCATGTCGGGGTCGAAGTTGCCCATGGCCGACTGTGTGTGCTGCAGGCCGGGCCGTGATTCGTTGCGGAGATGTGCTTTTTGCTTTTCAGCCACCTGGACCGAGGGGTAGTGGGCCGGCCATTTCAGGTTCATCTCTTGGAAACTCTTCAGCGTCTCGATGGTGCCAGCAATGGCGCGGCCGAGGGCGTTCTTGTTCTGGTTGTAGCGCAGTTGCAGGACATGGCTGCGCTGGCGTTCGTGTTCGGCGTTCCCTGACCCGGCAGACAGCATCGGTGATGGCCTGTCTTCGCCAATGTTAGACCGCCAATTCATGCCGCTGCCTTCGCCGTCTTGCATACTTCCGCCGTAGCCAGAGTCCTCGTCGAGCATCGAGACGAGGCGGGCGGCGGCGTCGCTCGTGGTGCTGCCGCCGCCGACCGTCATGTATCCGGGTCCAGCATTCCGGCGCGGGACGAAGTCGTCGGATTGGCCACGGCGGCCGCTGCTGGAGGACTCGCCGGGCGAGGAGGGGCGGCCGTTGCGTCGATCGGGATTCATCGAGGTGGTTCGGGTGGTTGCGCTATGAGGAGGGGCGCATGTCGTGATAGATGCGGAGGGGCGGGTGTGATGTTGTGGAGAGAGGCGGTGTCGAGAAAGAATATGCTTAGACAACGTCAGAGTTGGTGTGCACACGCCACCTCGCACCCAAGCAGGGATTGGCTGTCGTGACAGCTACACGCCCACCAGGGCACTGCCGCGGCATACACGTGTGCAGCTATTTCACGCCAACCTTTGCACGTCTGGCTGGGCGCTGTTTGATGCGTGAATCGTTTGGGTGAATTGGTGTACTAGAATTGCGCTTGCTCAAAGGTGGGCAAGTGGTAGATAATTCCCTCGAGGCTCGGCATCGCCATACCTGCGTCTGCGTATCTTGCCCTCCACGCCTCAACCCGGCCGAACATCAAATGACATAATCGGGCAAGGCAGCCACTTTTGCAACTTGACGTCTCTGACCTCCTCCCGTACAAACACTCGCCAATTCAGAGCTGGTCTCTTCCTCTAGTCTTGTAATCTGAACGAAGTGGTCGGTCGTATCGCGCTGCCCGCCGCACCCACATCTCCAAGTCTACCCCAGGATCCTCCACAAACCTCGCCCAATCTAGTCGCAACCATGAACGTATGTATACCTGCTCTTATACATAGCCCATGCTGACAACTCTGCAAGATCGTAGAATGGGCCTTCGGGAAGCGCATGACGCCGGCGGAACGGTTGCGGAAACACCAGCGCGCACTCGAGAAGACGCAGCGGGAGCTAGACCGCGAGCGCGTGAAGCTTGAGAACCAGGAGAAGAAGCTAGTCGCAGACATCAAGAAGAGCGCAAAGAATGGGCAGATGGGGCCTCTGCGCATCCAGGCAAAGGACCTGGTGCGCACACGGCGGTATGCCGAGCCGCTGTCGCATTGCTGATAGTACATGGCTAACGTACGCAAGATACATCCAGAAGTTCTACCAGATGCGCACACAACTGCAGGCGATTTCGCTGAGGATACAGGTATGGCAGATACCTACTAGGGGCGGACATGGCTGACTCCAGGCAGACCGTACGCAGTAACGAGCAGATGATGCAGTCTATGAAGGGCGCGACAAGTGAGTATGCATCTGCAAACTTTCGCTAGACTAGTCTAACATGCGCAGCCCTGCTCGGAAGCATGAACAGGCAGATGAACCTCCCCGCGCTCCAACGCATTGCCATGGAGTTTGAGAAGGAGAACGACATCATGGACCAGCGGCAGGAGATGATGGACGACGCTATCGATGATGCCACTGGCATGGAAGACGAAGAAGAGAGCGAAGACGTCGTCAACCAGGTCTTGGATGAGATAGGCATCGATCTTGGCCAGGCTGTGAGTACTCCATCACTACCAAGACCGCAATCACTAACGTCGCATAGCTTGGCGAGACGCCCAGCGGACTGCAGAAGAACGCAGTACCTGAAGCTAGGGTGGCGCAGGCTGTTGGCGGCGGCGGAGCTGACCCTGATGACGACGACCTCCAGGCACGCTTGGACAGCCTGAGAAGGTGAGGTGAAGGGCTAGTACCAGAAGCAACTTCGCCATGCCCGCGCAGCATTCTTGGCTCCGTGTCAGCATGCAGATATCAGGCCGACGGCTTGAATAGAGGGTTCATTCTTGATCACGTCCGGAGACAATGCAACCTGCGTATGAAGATCTGAAGATCACAAATTTCCGCTGTTCATGTTGCGGGATAGTCATGGCCGGCGGTTGTACATAGACATGTTAGTCAATTCAAGCCGGCTCCACAGTACGCGCCGGTCTGCATGCGCGCGAGCCTAGATCGTGCTGATCCGCAGCCCAAAACCCTGGATTTGCTTTGGTTATGCTAGCCTTGGTTGATATAGCAGAGTCACAGGACCGTGTATTTGGCCTGCGCCGTCGCCTCCATTCACACCCGCGCAGTACCTAGCGGGGTCGCCTTGGTGAGTCGAGTACCTGCGCAATTGATCCCCGCACTTCCACAACAAGCAGTCGGGTTCCCATTGCGCACGCTGCCTGCCACTCACTACCTATCCGCCCACGCTATCTCGACGATCGTCCAATCTCAACCCTGGAACGTGCCCGCGCCTTGTCATCTTTTCGCAGTGTCAAGCCTTCTCTTGCGCCAATTGATATTTCCGGCTGCTCGCCCCGCCATACACCCTCGACGTCATTACACCTAGCACCGACGACTCCCACGACTCCTCCCCTTGCATCCGTCTACATCTTTCCTACATTCTTGTCCCTCGAGCCCCGCTTATCTCATCCGCGAATCCGCCGCCGCCTCGGCCGCCCCATCTACATCGCCGCCCCTACCCAGTCACCAAACGCCAGCGCCATCCTCCAAGCTGGCAGGTAACAGGCGCCGGAGCGCCCAGGGAGGCTTGCTCTCGAAAATGTTTGGAAATGCAAAGGACGACGAGAGTCCCGCAGCCGACACCCCTGCCAACCATGACGCGCCCAAACCCGCAGCCCCAGTGGCGGACAACGCAGCTGCTGCACCGACAAACACAACCAGCAACGGCTCCGCTTCCATAGATCGCAAGCCCAGTGACGCTTCCGCCCCCACCGAGAGAAAACGACGGAGTAGTGGCGTATCGCGTGCCCGCGACATGTTCTCGAGCGCGAAACAGTCGCTGCACCTCGGCGGCTCTTCTCCCACCAACACCACCACCAACAACACCATGACCGAAAAGGCCGCACCCCAGACGCCCATGCAGAAGCTGGGCAAGTCGGATGCCGCTCTCAGCGTCCCCCAGGGCTCTCTCAACAACTCAGCCGGCGAGTCGGCGCCCGGCCCACGATCTACCTTCCGCGTCGGTGTCACAGAGGATAAGAACAAGAAGTGCAGACGAACGATGGAGGATACCCACGCATACCTGTACAACTTCCTGAGCACCCCAGCGCCCTCGTATGCCGCCGACAAGGCCCGCGCCATCTCCGACGCCAGCTCCACTCAGTCGGACCCTCTGTCGCAAGCCGTAGTTGAGACGGACAACGGATACTTCGCCATCTTCGACGGACACGCCGGAACCTTCGCTGCCGACTGGTGTGGAAAGAAGCTTCACCTGATCCTGGAAGAGACAATCCGGAAGAACCCCAACACCCCGATACCCGAGCTGCTCGATCAGACCTTCACCGTAGTCGACCAGCAGTTGGAGAAGCTTCCTTTGAAGAACAGTGGTTGTACCGCGGTTATTGCAGTTCTGAGGTGGGAGGACCGAGTACCCAATGCGCAATCGTCCACCGGCTCAGTGCTCTTCGCGCCCGCGGCTGTATCGGCTATCAAGCATGCAGGCGAAGGCGGCGAGGCTACCGATTCCGCTGTGGAGCCCGCAGCTGAACAGCAAGTCGAGGCGAGATTACGCAACGAGGCCAGCCGACAGCGCGTGCTGTACACCGCCAACGTAGGTGATGCGCGTATTGTCCTCTGCCGCAATGGCCGAGCGCTGCGCCTCTCCTACGACCACAAGGGCAGCGACGAGAACGAGGGACGCCGTGTTGCTAGTGCCGGCGGCTTGATCCTCAACAACCGCGTTAACGGCGTCCTTGCTGTCACACGAGCACTGGGCGATGCCTATATGAAGGACTTGGTCACCGGACACCCGTACACGACCGAGACTGTGATTCAGGCCGAGCAGGACGAGTTTCTCATTCTCGCTTGCGATGGTGTAAGTAATGCAGTCACAAATACATGACATTTGCTAACAGCTATAGCTCTGGGATGTCTGTTCCGACCAGGAAGCCGTCGACCTAGTCCGCCAAGTTCACGATCCGCAAGAAGCATCCAAGAAGCTTGTCGACTACGCCCTCGCACGCTTTTCGACCGACAACCTCTCCTGTATGGTCGTTCGCTTCGACAACAAGGCTCTTCGCCAGCGCAAGAACGACGCCGCGATGGGTGTGGACGGTGACCAGTCGACCATGAAGGGCGGAATCACCGAGGCAGACGCCATCGTAGCACAAGCGAAGAAGTCAATTGGCGAGCCTGAGATACCGGTCGAAGCAGCGGCACAGGAAATTATTATGGAGGAGGCCGAGGCTGAGCCCGGTCCTGAGCTCAACTTGGACGCCGCAAAGGCAGCCAGGAAACACGACGCATAGTGTGGATGGGTCACGACTTGGCATATGGATACTATGAATGGGGGAATATCTTGGAAGGGCAGGCGGCGTGCAATGTTCATGGACAGATGGCGGCAGTGTATGATTTCTAGCGTACCTGAGGATCCTTTGGGACCAGGTTTCTTTCGGGTGCATTCCCTAAGGTTAGCCGTATCTCAGAACTGAGCGCTTCAATGTAATCCAAGCAAATGCAAGTAAAGATGAGCTTGTCACACGTATATGTTTGCCGTCTGTTGTATGCTACATCATTGTTTGCCCCGCGTGTTTGCGCATTGACATTCCAGGTCCACGATGCGCTAATGACGATCGTGGGGCCTCTACCTGCACCGACTTTCACCGCATTCAAGAAATCCTGCGTCTACTAGCCCCCATTCCCGCTGCATCTACCCCCGAAGCTTGGATCACTGGAGTCACGCTCATGCGGCTCCGAGGAGCAACGCGATAATCATGTCGGGCGTCGACACGGCAGACTCTACGACCAACGCCCTCCCGAGCGATGCGCGACCCGCCTTTGTGACGCCGAGGGACCTGCTCCAACAGTCCCGAGCGCCTCTACCCCCGAAAGAGCAGCCGCGCCAACTTTCAGCTGTTGACCGCGAGCAACTGGACGGCCTGGTATGAAGTCTGGATCGCCGACAGTCGCTGCGGTAGCTGACAAGAGCTAGAGAACCATCAGAGCTTTCCTCAAGGCCAGGACGAGCTACGATGTTCTTCCTATAAGCTATCGCCTGATCGTCTTCGACACGGCGCTGCTCGTGAAGAAGAGTCTGAACATACTGAACCAGAATGGTGAGCTTGGACATGGTGTATGGAAGCACGAGCTGACGCTGTATGTAGGAATCGTCTCAGCGCCGCTATGGGATTCCAAGTCATCTACCTTTGCCGGACTCCTCACAACATCGGACTATATAAACGTCATCCAGTACTATTGGCAGAACCCAGACGCTTTGGCGCGGGTCGACCAGTTCCGCCTGAACAGTCTGCGAGGTAAGCGCTCGGCTTCGCATGCCGAACACAAGCTCACACAGACAGACATCGAGAGATCTCTGGGCGTCAAACCCATAGAAACCATATCTATCCACCCCGACCGACCCGTATACGAAGCATGCCGCAAGATGCTCGAATCGCGCGCCCGGCGTATACCCATTGTCGACAGCGATGACGAGACACGTAGAACCATGGTCGTTAGTGTCATCACCCAATACCGCATATTGAAGTTCATCGCCGTGAATGTCAAGGAGACACAGAAGCTGCGGAAGCCGCTGAAGGAGCTCAATGTCGGTACATACGAGGATCTCGCGACTGCATCGATGGACACACCGGTCATGGACGTCATCCACATGCTTGTTAAGAAGAGCATATCTAGTGTGCCCATTTTGGACAGAGCTGGTAGGTGGTGTTGTTGGATTACGGCAAACTTGGCTAATGTTCACAGGTACCGTGCTGAACGTCTTCGAAGCCGTCGACGTCATTGCACTTATCAAGGGCGGTGTATACGACGACCTGAACCTTACAGTCGGCGACGCGCTACTAAAGCGCTCAGACGTACGTCTCCACATCCTCATTATTTACACTCTTCTAACAACGTCCAGGACTTTCCTGGCATCTTCACCTGTTCGCTCAACGACAACATGTCCACCCTGTACGACACGATCCGCAGGTCGCGCGTCCACCGCTTCGTCGTCATCGACGAAAACAGCAAGCTCAAGGGCATGGTGACGCTAAGCGACGTTCTCGAGCATACGCTACTGGAAGGCATGGAGGACGAGTAGAACGACGCTATCCTAGACCACTTGTCAGCGAGCCATGTTAAGAGTCTTAGACTGCATGAGCAGAGAATGAGGAGGTGCGATGATTGAGATGACTGAATGTCTTGGTGGGAGGACTGAAGGCATGTTTTGTGAGTGAACTACGATATCATTTAAGGCTTCTTGGGTGGAATCAGTGCGCGACTATGGATCGTGAAGGAGGTCTAGCGAGTCAATATTAACATGATTATAAATTCTTGCTAAGTGTCTAAAGTGTTATTGCGTCCTGCGCCCACTTCCTAATGGTATCTTGAATAGCATAAACGCCGGGTATTCCCAAAACAACAAAAACTAACTCTCCCCAGCCAGACGCCTCGAATCAATCCCAATAACCCCGACTCTACACGCCCTCTCCCTCATTTTCATCTCCACCCCCATCTGCATCCCCCACCCAACTAGTACTCGCCCCAACCAACTCCAAAATCTGCGCTCCCCTAACCACACTAACCTCCCCCCTCTCCACGCTTCCCTTTACAAACGCCTCAAACTCCTCTTTACCCATGACATCCTGCCCCTCCTCCGGAAACAGCTGCGCAGACACCTTTTCCGCAATGTCGGCGGGGATGCGGCCTGCGGCACTTTGCACGGCGAGGCCGAGGACGAGGCGTGCGGTCCGGATTAGGTGCGTGTCTGTTTGGCTGGTGGAGGTGGAGGTGGAGAGGGCGCGGTGGAGGAGCAGGATTGTGGTGCGGGAGTCGGGGGAGGAGGGTGGACTAGTGGTGGTGGTGGGGAGGGAGGAGTGGGTGGAGAGGGGGAAGTCGTCGATACATGAAAGGGGGTTCTCGATTTCGGTTGTTGGTGTTGGTGTGGGTGTGGATAAGGGTGAAGGTGAATGACGGATAACAGTCGTCGTAGGCGACGGTTGGGGTGTGATATCTGAAAGCGGGTTTTCGATCTCAGTCACCGGTGTGGATAGAGGCGATGGTGATGGGGAAGGCCGTGAGTGCGAACTTCGGATGAAGAGAGTGGGCGTCGGTGTATCCGCGAGCGGGTCTCCAATCTCAGTCACTGGCGTGGATAAGGGTGATGGTGATGGAGTAGTCTGAATAGCGGTGCCAGGCCTTGAAAGAGGTTGCCGGATGTGGATGGTAGTCGGCGAGGCTTGCAGCATTGCTACGGCGGTCGCGGGGATGTTTTCGCCTATGACGGAGGTACTGGGTTTGATTTCAGAGCTTCTTGGAGATATGTATCTGGTGAAGCCCGTGAAGCCGGATGGGACGCGGGCACGGGATGGTGTTGCTGGGCTAGTTGGGCGGGACGATCGGTAGTAGGGGATGGGGAGGGAGTAGTTTATTGGACTTGTTGATGGTGAGGGGCTCGTTGGGGTGTCTTGGGGGAGTGGCGTGGATTCGAAGAGGGATGGGGAGAAGGAGAAGCTGGAATGAGAGCTCGGTGTCGATGTAGATGCGGAGTCGCTGCCGGTGTCAAGAGGATGGGGTCGGGTGGTGGAGATGGGGATGAAAGCGATTGGCTATAGGAGAGTCATGTTAGTGATACGCCGGGGAAAAGAGAGGAGGGTATAGTGAGACTTACATCAATCTGCGGTGCTTCATCCGAGATATCCAACGGTGAGGGTGTTCGCTCAGTCCAGTCTTCTTCCTGAAATGACACATGCTTATCACTACATTCTTCACATCCAAAATCCCTGCAATGAAACCCCGATGTTAGCAATCCGCCATCAATGTACGGGAGTATAGCTTCGGGTAAATCGCACCTCTTGCACCGTCCATGGTGGAACTTGTGACTGCAGCTCGTCCTCATCGAGGTCCTCGGGGTAGAGGCGGAAGACGAGGACTTGAGATCTAGGTGGAGAAGGTCGAGCAGGAATGTCTTGATGCGGCAATAACGACCGTGTGCTATGCAGTCTTGTAGTTCCAGGGGGGTTAGGGTGCAGTGTGATGCTGTCGCGTATGCCGGATTTGAAGTCTTGATTGGTGAAGGAGGGAGAGACGGTGAGTAAAGGTCCAAGAAAGATTGCGAAGGCGATGTAGGGGTTGGCGGCTCCGAAGGTATCGAGCATAGTGTGTGTGCGCTTGCGACTGTGAAGACGCTGCTTCGATCCCGTCTATGTCGAGCATGTTTGCGGCGTGCGTCTTCTTTTGGCTCGAAGCCGTTGCCGAATCTGAAGTCGTATCGTAACTCGCCCTTCCTATGGTGTGGCCGGTATTTGGATTCTGGTGTAGTTGAACCAGAGATTGTGCGACGAGGCCTCGTGGGTGTTGTGTTGATATGGTAGTTGTGATTCATAAAACTGTCTGAGCGTCGGAGTCGTTGTATGTCAACGTCAGACATACTCCGGATCTTAGGCTGCCGGCGATGGTAGTTAGTCTCTGAGGTAGTCAGGGGAATGAGGTGAGGATATATTGACAGCTGGTGGGTTGTGGCCTCCATGACTGCGGGGATAGAGGGTTCTGAGGTGGAAAGTAGCGTTGAGCTAGGAGTGTAGAGCAGAGTGTAAGTACCTTTGTTCGCCCGAGGTCGCAATGCTGGACTGAACTGATGGATGAATGAAGGCTCAGATGCCTTGTTTTGGTCCGATTGCACATCTGCTGACCCAAAACCACGGTAGAAAGGGCCCGAAAAAGGTCGAGACATTCACTGCCTTCATCCTGCTCCAAAGAGCACGCATTGTTACCCTCACTAGCGTGTGAAGAATGTCCGCGTCCTAAGAAAATCATCTCAAAGTCGCTACCGTCGATTGTCGTTGTGAGCATGATGTCAAAGCAATAGCGTCTTTGTTGAGATATGTCGCCTAGCCCATGGCGGCGGGACAATGACTTTATGAAGCGTACGTCGTCATTAAATTTGGCTCTGTCTTACTACGAGAATGGAATGTAAGGTTCGCGTCATTTTGCTGAAACCTGTCATCCTGATATGATTGATTGCAATCGTAACTTAGTTTGGGAGTAAGCTGAAGAGGCCGTGTTACAACACATTGCGCAGAGCCCTGAGTAAAGTTTACCGTTTGTTTCACCTCGTTCTGGAAGGCGGATGGAATCGGCAGGAAAGTTTCAACGCCGTCGAAGCGATCGATTGCACCATTATGTGACGATAACCGTTGCTGTCAGTGTCAAAATCGAGCGCTCGCCATTTCCTCGTTGGATGGTTGGGTGGTTGGGTAGTTGAAACCCGACTGCCGCCTGCCGCCGGCAAACTGCCCGCCTCACTTCCCGAACACCCAACCACCGCTCCTCGAACTTTACACGCTCAACCATCATGTATATCTTCTATGCGCGTACAGTTTCCGTCTCCTGCCATGGGCGAGATGACAATGGAGATGAAAAACGCGTTCTTTGGTAATGCCGCCCTTCGATGTGCGCGCGCCTTTCGCCTACCATACTAATTTCAACTCTTCGCAGCCAACATCACCGACGGTGAATTTGCGCGAGCGGGATTGCTACGGTTAGTATCTAAAGTTTTCGGGAAATTCTTGCTACGAAACACATCACAATTCGTCCGCTTGTACTGCTCATCGATTAAACTTTACCGGTCGACACTTCGACAGCGCACGACAGCCACTAGACGTACGCTTGGACGTCTTTTCACCACCTGTCCGCCCTCATCATCGCGACGCTTCGAAACACCAACACCGCCTCATCAAAATGAACGAACAAAACGAATCCCTTCTCTTCCGTCTCCCGCGGGAGTTGCGCGATGAGATCTACCACTACTATGTCTTTGAGGAAGGCGGCTACCACCACGATGCCACGTCCGACAAGCTTCGACAGGCTAGCGGACGTCCGATCAATTTAAGTTTGCAGTACACTTGCAAGAAGGCTGCGACCGAGATGAAGGGTCTAGCTCTACAGGTGAACAGGGTTACATTCCGTACGAAACTCGATGTACCCGAACCTGGTAGCGAATTATCGAACGCGCTCTTATGGAATCATCTTCTCCGCAAACGAGAACGACCTCTCCGACGTATGTTTGAACGGTCTTATACTCTGGTCACGCTCGAAGCTATACAACGCCTACGAGAGCTGCATCCGGATAGTACCGCGGCGGAGCAGATCGAGAAAGCGTTCATCAGGATGGGCGACAGGAGTCACTGGCTCAGCTCCGGGACACTGTTTAATGAAGGCGTGGTTTGGAGTATAGACTATTCAGCGCACACAACTCTACTACAAGACTTGTTGCAAATCCTATCCACCCACCCAGAGTTCTGGCGACTGACTTCCAAAGAGTATACCAGAGAGTCTGAAGAAAATGACAGTAGGCATGTTTCGGCTAGTCAAATTGAGCTGTTCTCTGACTTTGCACAGACGGTAGGATTGTACACGAAGATCTGGAGTACCCAAATCAGGCGATTCAGGCGTTGATGCTTGGATGGTGCCCGGACCCATGGCGAATGCCGGATCGCGCTGAACTTGACACGATCTTCGAATTTCTTCCACGGCCGCGTGCAATAGGAAAGGAGTCTGACCGAGGGTGGCGTTTGGACGACACGTACTATTCGGCTACCGCGGTGACTATTGGATTTTTAGAGCGCTTGCCATCAGCCACACGAGCGCATCTACGCAGTATCATTATCCAGGAAGATAGAATAAGCCTGGCACACAGGCAAACTCACGCTAGAGGCCTTATCCCTTTCTGCTGCGAGAACCTCAAGCTTCGAATCGAGAGGAGAGTAGACGTATTTCACCAGCACTACTTGTCCGAGCGCATGGGTTTAGAAGACGGAATCGAGGAAATTGCGCCCTGGTTCGTTGAAACCAAGTTCCTCAAGAGGCTTGGGATGCCACCCGAGTCCTTTTGCTTGGTTCTTCACGGGCCCACACCTCGAGCGAGCCAACGGCTGAGCGACCTTCTCATCAAGCTTGCCATTTGGGACGAGGGCTGCACTATACTCGAGCATAGATTAGGTCCCAGCTCCGATTATGTCGGTTACCCAATGCGTAGAGGATTTGCGGATGGTGTTAAAAAGATGGTTACAGGCGAGCTTCCTGCAAGAGTTGAAGCCGATATGGGACATGTGTGGGATATCAACCAGCTCCTGGACGACCATGTTGGCGAATGGCCTGCACTCAGCGAAGACGTATATGTGAAGACTGCCACTAGGCATGCTGGGCACGAATTGTCACTTCAAGAGGAGGACTAGACAGAACGAATGAAAGGCTGTAGTCTTTTCATCACAAATACCTCTACGACTCAAAGAACTCGGCTTTCGTCATACCGCTTCTGGGGTTCGTGGTACCACGGTACACCTCCGCCGTTGCGCCCTCGGCTGCGCCCTTGACAGCGCCCTTGACGAGTCTGACTAGTGCCGAATTTTGTGTTTCCCATATAAAAGGTCTTGGTTTCCCGGACCATCGCATTCTAACACCCATCCAAAGCCTTTGCGACGCCGCTTCTGTGTCTTGTCTTTAAAGTCTCATCACAAGCACTTAATCCAGAGAAAACCCTCTCAACCATGGCAAAGGACCCGACACTACAGAACGCGTTGGATCAGCACCAGTCTCTCCTCTTCCGCCTTCCACGAGAGCTGCGAGATGAGATCTACCACTACTATTCCCAAGCAAACGGTTACTACTACGACTCCACCTCTGGGACACTTCGAATGGACGGCGGCGAGTCCATTGATCTCAGCCTTCAATATACCTGCAAAAGAACAGCGGCGGAGATGCAGGGTATTGCCTTGGGAATCAACAAAATAACCTTCCGCACGATGGTCGATCTCCCCAGGCCTTCCGACCAACTCATGAAATCTCAAGTCTTCGATCATTACATCCGTAAAAGAAGGCGTACCATACTTAGTCGTATGGTCGAATGGACATATCCTCTAGTTACAGACGAGACCATGCGCCAGTTGTGCGAACGCCATCCAGCGAACCTGGCAGTCAAGAAGATGAGGGAATTGCATCGAGAGGGAGACAGTGATGGACCCCTAGCGGGCGGACACCTATGGGGTGACAATGGAGGTTTCGATACAGTCGATTATGACGAGTACTCAGCGGAAGCCATCGTAATTCTCCGAGATTTACTAGACATCATATCCACCGATCCTGGATTCTGGCACATGACTGCGAGCGACTTCGATGTCAACGCGAGGAGGGCCTTCTTCGTGGCAACTGAGCATTGGGCCACGCGTTGGGACAAATTCGAGGATTATCTCACGGAGCATATTCCCGTATACACTTCCAAGGCAGAACAGCAGCAAGTGCTACAGTGGCAACCTGACAGCTGGTTCATCCCAACAGATGACGATCTTGAGGCACTGGAAGAGTTTCTGCCTCACGACGAGAATTCTTATCCTTTCCATGCAGTACATATACGGGGAGGAAGGCGATCCTACTTCTCTGCAGCCGCCGTCGCGATTCGGTTCCTTTCACGCCTCAGCGAGTCTACACGTAGCCACCTCCGCTGGGTCACTATACTAGAAGATGAGTGCAGCGACCCTGAATCCTTCAGTCACGCAAGAGGCCTAGTTCCCTTTTGTATCTTCAACACTCAGTTGGAAATTGAGAGAAGAGTAGACATATGGCGTACCTCACTCATCGGTATTACGAGAGCAAACCATTGGTATACTGAAGGGAGGGGACGTGTGATGAGAGAGATTGGAATGTGGATTAGTGAGGCAAAGGCACTGACTGTCTTGGGGATGCCTCCTGGCTCTTACAATCTGGTCTTGCACGGCCCATCACCTCTTGCAAGCCAACAAATCTGCGATGCCACTGCCAGGGTAGCAATCTGGGACGAAGGCTGTAGGTTGATCACAAAAGCCGACCCTATCCATGGGCCCTACTTTGACCACATGCTTGGTGAAGGCTTCGCGGATGCCATCAAGGGGGTAATTGAAGGGAACATTCCAGCTCGGTTCGACGCAGACATGGGGAAGATTTGGGATATCGATCAGCTGTTGAGAGATCAGGATGGCGATTGGCCTGAAGACTTGGATGATGTTTTCGAACTTCGCAACCTGGAAGAGCCACCGGAAGGCTGGTGCGCTGCACATGAGGAGCGGTTTGGGGTGTGGAAACACAGAGACTCTGTTCGACTGGACTGGACAGAATACATGGAGGGGGTTGAGATGCTTTTTGAAGCAGAATGAGGTCAATGAATCCGACTAGATAGAGACGACGAATAGGTGGAATATACCAACATTGTCGGCGATGGCTTAACAACCTCATGGAAGGGGAAGTTGAGTGATCAGGAAGCTGTTTGGGCTGATGAATTCAAGACATCTCATCTTCGTTGTCCAGTCATCACACTCTATAATACCGTGTATCATCCATCTGAACTATATTATCTTCTTCTTTCAGATCTTCCTTGTGCAATTTATTTGGTCACCGAGGTACTGTTGAGTCTTAGACTTACATGCATTGATATTCGCTGCACCGCTTCTGTGTTCCAGATAATTCTGGTACGCCATCGCCCTTGCGCCCTTGGCAGCGCCCTTTCGCTACCATGGGAGACACACTCTCAGCTTAACGTCAAAAGCTTCGCGCGACACATTTCTCCAACACACACAAACTTTCTTGCGCCAAGATGCAGTCGAAAAAGCCCACGATCATGGACCAGCATCAGTCGGTATTCTTTCGTCTTCCTCGAGAACTACGCGACGAGGTGTATTACTACGACGTCTGGGAAGATCAGGGATACAGCCATCGCACGACTTCGGAGACTCTTCGGGCGACAAACGGGGACGCGGTTAGGATCAGTCTGCGATACACTTGTAAGAGGATCGCGAAAGAGATGGATGGAGTGGCATTCAAAACGAACGACATCACTTTCCGCACTATGCTCAGTCCGCCAGATATTACTGGCCATCCCACGAACGCATTCATGTACGAGCTTCTTCTCGGCGACCGTGGGTGTCGATTGAGATACATGGTACACTGGGCTCACAGCCTCATCTCGGTGGAGGTCATGCAAGAGCTGAGGAAACGATATCCATGGAGTCTTGCAGTACAAAGGATAACGGAAGAGGTTTCAAGAACCAAGAGGACCAATTTGCGATATGGATTCCTACCCACGGTGGAGACCCTAGACTTCTACAATGATGAATCTGTGCTGCAAGACTTGGTAGAGATCTTGGCGACATATCCGGAGTTTTCCTATTTGACTTCGAGAGAGTACGATATAGATTTACGAAAGGCGACGGGTCCCCAGGAAGATGACGAGGACTTGCCTTCTGAGGATGAGGATTACTTTTCTGACTCCTCCGACGAATCCGACAATGAGGATACGCCCTGCTACTCAAAGGAAACTCAGATGACTGTCTTGCAGTGGAAACCAAAAGCGTGGTGGATTCCAGACCGCACTGAGCTCAAAAGAGTATTGCAGTTCCTGCCTCCGTGGCCCAAAGTGCCTCCAGAGCCGCCTTTTCACGACTGTTGGGTACCATTCATGTACTTCTCAGCAGCTGCAGTAGCTACTCGCTTTATCGAGAGGCTTTCCCCGAACATATGCAGGCAATTGCGCAAGATCATTATCCAGGAGGACCGACTGAGCGTGTCTCGTTCAAAAACCCACGCACAGGCTTTCATACCGTTGTGCGTTGCGAATCCTGATCTCCGTATAGAACGCAGGGTCAATGTCTGGTATACCGAGTTCGTGCATGAGAGCGAATATTTCAACGAGTTCGCAACCAGAATAATAGAGGCAATTGCTGTATGGATCAACGAGGTCAAGACAGTGTACCAATTAGGTATGCCCGTCGGGTGCTTCAATCTAGTCCTACACGGACCTTCCAAAGGAGCAAGCCAGCAGCTTTGCGACGCCGTTGTAAGAGCAGCGATATGGCAAGACGGCGGTGTCGAGTTAGCTCGGCGGGAGCAGCGAGTGTTTGATTATGATTCAGACGGCGCTATAGCCGAAGACTTTGTCGACGTTATCAAAGAGATGCTGCGAGGGGAAATACCGGCGAGGTTCGACGATGCGGAAACGGGCGAGATATGGGATATTGAGAAGATCCTACGCGAACACGATGGTGACTGGCCTCGTCACGTCGGGTGTGTGGTTCGTCTCCAGGATTTCGACGAGCCGGATGGTGGTTGGGAAGCGGCGCGCGAGGTGTATGAAGAGAACGTCGAATGGATGGATAGAATAAACGGATGGAGACGATTGGCCGAAGAGGAGTAGTAGTTGCGAGGGAATTATTTCGGCACGCAGACCATGCCGTCGTAACTGCTACATGTCATTATGTAGAGTGAGTAATGCAGTAATGTTGTAACTTTTGCTACGCCTTTTACTGATAACCTGGCAATAACCCGCCGGTTACAAGTTCGGCTATTAGATCGAACGAGCCAATGACCTGTTACATGAGTCGTACCGTGCATGCTCAACGGAATCATGCTACGCCGCCACCCTTACATCCTCCGCGGCGCCCTTGATCAGTCTGACACGTACCAACTTGCGAGTTTCCTCACACAAAAACCCCCATCCTGCCCGAATGATAGCGCTTTAACATGATTCGGAGGCCTTTGCGATACCAGTCGCTTGCCTTTATGCTCTCAATGCAGATTTCCAACATCGCAGACCCTCTTCGTCATGGTGACGGACCCAGCATGGACAATCAACATCAGTCTCTTCTCTTCCGGCTGCCACGAGAGCTGCGGGATAAAATCTATGAGTACTACACGCATCAAGAGGAAGGTTATATCTACGATCCATCGGCCCAGAAGTTTCGGCTCGCCAACGGAGAAAAGATCGATGTCGCGTTGGTCTACACCTGCAAAAGAGCGGCACAAGAGATAGACGGTTTGGCATTTGAATCGAACACGCTCCGATTCAGCGTCCTTCCAAAGATTCCTGGCACTGAGACTTCAAGCTCTGTAGCCTTTTTCTACCGCAGTCTCCTGGAAGGGCGCAACATGTGTCTCCGGATTATGTTGTCATATGCATATCCCCTTGTCACACGAGAAGCCTTGAAAGAGCTGCGATCGAGATATCCAGGTAACACGGCAGTGGAAGAGCTAGAGAAAACGATTACCAGGGAGGGTAGAGCGGCCTTGAAGGAAGGCCGCCTTTACCCTGTGTCTAGATTGGATTATCTCATCAAAGACGCTATACTTCAGGATCTCATGCAGATTATTGCGAGGCATCCAGCGTTCGAGCGCCTCGTTTTGGGAGAGTACGATCCATCCGCCAAGACGAGTGCTCCATTGGATTATGACCCGGTTACGGATGACGAGGACGAATCCGAGGACGAGGATAATGACAACAGCCAGAGCAGAAGTCGCTCTCGGCCATCGGTATACACGAGAGACACCCTATACCAGATTATCGAGTGGAGGCCCACGTATTGGTGGATTCCGGAGAAAAAGGACCTTGATAAGGTCGCGAAATATGTTCCACAAGCACCAGAACTCGGGACTCGCCATAATGGTCGCGTCAAGAGATTCAAAAGATACTTCTCGGCAGCGGCAGCTGCCATTCAATTCCTTGAGCGCCTTACGCCCAAAAAGCGCGCCCAAGTGCACAAAATTGTTATCCAGGAAGATTACGCGAGCTTAGGAATCTCCCAGAACCACAAGAACCACACGAGCTTAGGACTCTCCCAGACCCACGCACGCGGGCTTGTTCCATATTTGCTCGAGAATCCTAGACTTCGAATAGAGCGACGCGTCGACATCTGGGGAACTGTGCTTAGCGAACGTTCCTACAGTGTCGAGCGCTGTCTCTGGGATGTTGCAACGTGGATACACGAAGCGAGTATGCCATGGATTATGGACCTGCCAACGGGTTCTTTCTCCTTGGTCTTACATGGCCCTGACGAGAGAGCCAGTGAGCTTCTCTGCAATGCCATGCGACAGGCTGCAATGTGGCAGGACGGCGCTGAAGAACTGACACGCCGGGGGACCATGCAGAGGATGACTCCTATAGCCGATGACTTCGTCGACGTTATAAAGGCGGTGGTGCGCGGCGATGTTCCGGTGCGTTTCGAGGCAGGCGTGCCCGAGCTATGGGATACAGACAAGATCTTGCGCGAGCAGTCCGACCAGTGGCCATACGCAGTTGATAGATTGAGATGCGTTACTGTTTTTCATTTCGGTATGCATGATGGAGGCTGGGACTCGGTTCGCTCAGAGCAGATGGAGGAGATTGAGTGGACGGATGGAATGGTCGTTCGGGGTCTATTTGAAACGGAAGATTAGCAGGACAGAACTACAATGGGGGCAAGATTGCGATGTGGGCTGGCAGTTCGTCTATTCGTGCTGAAATGTGTGGGCCTCAATGTGAAAACGTCGAAACTCTTGCGTAGAGAGTTGCATGCGAAGGGCGCCGGCCATGGTCGCGGCACACACGAAAACGCGCCAAGACCTACGTTTGACATGTTTGCAGTCAGCTATGACGTCAACCCAGCCGCGTCGCTTTCAACCAGCGCGGCCGAGACTCGAGCTTCCAGCATGGGCAGCAAGCTGATCACAATTACGAAGCCCAAGATCTAGGGTGGTACGCCTTGATCTAAATCCAGATACCCGCACATGCCAGCCATTGAAAGCGCCTGGACGCTGCCCCGGGCCGCTGCGGTGCATGAGATTGATTGGTATGCTGGCGGCATTGTCGAGCTTAATTGAGGTTAAATCAAGGTATACGCTTGAAATGAGCCCCACATCGTCACTCGTTGTAGATTATCCCGTTGGTGTTGATGTTGGCTGTGGCTTAATCCTGGGTAGAACAGGGACAAACGCAGGCACGGCAGGAACCTACGTCACTGCCCGCGTGCCTGCCTTCATAACGCGCCAACACGGACTCTTTGACTCCGCGCATACTCACGATACCCAGTTTCCCCCACTTCACCCCCCTACTCTTACAATTGACCTTTGTAAAACACAGTCAGAATGGAGACCATCACCAACCTCGCAAGCAATGCTGCCGGTGCAGCCTCCAAGCTCATCTACGGCGACCAGACCAAGGCGGACGAGGCAGTCGAGCAGACCAAGAACAACGAAACTGCCGGCAAGGAGCCTATCTCCGGTGAGCAGGGTCAGGGCACCGTCACTCAGCCTTACGACCAGGGCAATCTTGGTGAGTCCCCTCCAACGCGCGCATTGGACGACATATGCTGACCCCGCTTCACAGCGACCCCTCTAGCGACGGCTGATAAGGGAACTTTCCTCGACTACTCGAATAACGAGACTGCGGGCAAAGAGCCAGTTTCCGGAGAGCTCGGTAAGGGGACTGTAACAGAGCCCTTTGACCAGGGCAACGATGGTAAGTATACGACAATGACGGCTAGTAGAACAGAATACTGATGTATCGCACAGCCAAGGCGACCGAGAAGGCAGCCGAGAAGACCTCTGGCACAGATGAGTTCTTGAAGCTCGACCCTACCACCAAGGGACCGACCGAGACCATGACCGAAACATCGACCGACCCCAAGATCTACTCGGATAGCAAGGACCCGTCCTACGTTGGCATGCCCATCGTCCCCCTCAACCCCGACGCTGCTACGTCAAACACTGGCGCTACCTCCTCTACAACACAGGCCACTGGCATCACGGACAAAGCTGGAGTAACGGATAAGCTTTGGAAGGACACCCCACTTGACGACATCAGCCGTTCAGGTGCGCCAGGTGCTGGTCCTACTGGTCCCAGCGATGTCACTCCTGCGGCTCCTGGTTCCACGGCAACCACAACTACCAGCCCTGATCCCGCGATCAAGACCACTGCTCCCGACTCTGTAACCGGTGCTTCAAGCACATACGCGGGTGGCGCTGGTACCGACACTAAGACTGATGCCGAGAAGGCCTCTGCGAACCGCGACACTCCAGAGTGGACATCAACAGGCGTTCCTTCTGACAGCAGCAACTTCGAAGCGGCTGCTGCCAAACAGAACGCTGCCTCTGGTTTGTGGACACGGGAACCCGGACAAAGTCGGGGTAGTACTGACGGTGCCGCAGGTATGACTGGAGAGCACTCAGGTCGCAAGTCCGAGTCTGCCGATTTGACTACATCCCCAAGCGGCGAGGAGAAGGGTGGAAAGATGTCGCACTTGAAGGAGAAGATGAAGAACAAGCTTCACATCGGCTCCAAGGACAAATAGGTGCGACGCAGAGGAATGGACGACCTTAATGGATGATGGATGGGATATGATACCACGGCAATAATATGCCACCACGGACGAGGACAAAACTCGTTGTGTACTCTTCAGATAGAAATCTACAGCGTTGAGCTCAAGTTTATCTTCCATTTCGTCCAATCATGTGCCTGGTTCAGCCTCGTGGCACTAACTAAAGTTAGCGTCGCGCCTGCCGTTCGCGATCTGACGTGCATACGCCTGACAGCGTACAACATCCATCTTATCACGCCTCACTTCCAACATAATAGCATCACGTTGGCAGCACTAAGACAATATATTGGTTCGCACTTGTCACAAGACCAAAACTTGACGAGCCGCTTCCTCTTCCAGGCTAGACAAATTCCAAGGTACGTGAACGGCTGTATGCGTTTGAGGTACCGTGCCACCTAGACCACCGCTTGGATAGCAGCCTTCTCGCCAACTAAGATCGCCCTTCCAACATTAGTTCCTGTCGTCTCCTCGATCCCCTCCGTTTGCAGCCAAGATGATGCACTCTACAGCACGGTCTACGCATCGCCACTAGTAACCGCGGTGTACCTACACTCTCGGAACCACGTTTCGCGACGACTGATCTGGCAGCCTTACTTGTCAACATAATCTTGGTTACTTCGAATCGCGTCATTTTGGCCCATTTTATCCTTCCTCAATACAGTCGTCTTATCATTTTTTATCGCACACCATCAACATGGGAAACATTGGCAACGAGAATGCAGTTCGTAGGGCTGACATCGCGATTGATAGAACAACGCCTGAGAGGCAGACTCGAATTTCGAAAGACTTGTCTACTTCGCCACACAATCACGGCTACATGGATGAGGCGAACATGATACGGAGGGTGGCGGGCAAGATACCGCATGTGTGCGTTGTGGGCGCTGGTGTCGCTGGACTAAGATGTGCGGATTTGTTGCTGAAGCAGGGCGTTAAGGTAACAATACTGGAAGGGAGGAACAGGGTTGGCGGAAGAGTATGCCCGATCAGCTGTGTAAGTTTTGACGCACACTAACTAGCTGTCAGCTATGCCAAAGCGATGGGCTCGGCCACAGGGTTGACCTGTAAGTTCGCAATTCTCGATGTAGCTTGTATGAACTGACCGTGCTGGCAGTGGGCCAAACTGGATACACGGGACTGACGACAACCCTATCCTGGACTTGGCCAAAGAAACCAAGACTACTACCATGAACTGGGATGGTCGTCAATCTGTCTTCGACAGCCAGGGAAACCACATGTCGGATAAAGACGCGGCAAAGAACACCGAGCGTGTGTGGGCCATCGTCGAGCAAGCCATGAAGCTGTCGAACGAGACTTCAACGACGATACCAGCGGAGAAAAGTCTGTATGACTACTTCCAAGAACAGGTCTTAGAAATGTTTCCCAACAAGAATGATGAAGCAAAAAAGCAGCAGCAAACCATACTCCAAATGGCAGAGATGTGGGGCGCTTTCGTCGGCTCGCCCGTTCAGAGACAAAGCCTGAAGTTCTTCTGGCTTGAGGAGTGCATCGACGGCGAGAATCTCTTCGTCGCATCTACGTACGACAAGGTACTGAAAAAGATCGCTGAGCCGGCACTGAAAGACGCGACGATGCTGTTTGAGCATAAAGTGCGGCGGATCATATCAGGAGAGAAGACCGAAGATACACGCGTCACCGTCGAAGTTGAAGGTCGGCAAAGCATGACCTTTGACGAGGTCATCATGACAGCTCCACTGGGCTGGTTAAAGCGTAATCTCGGAGCTTTCGTCCCAGAATTACCGAAACGACTGACGGACGCTGTGGGAAGTCTAGGGTATGGTCATCTAGACAAGGTCTACATCAGCTTCCCAAAAGCCTTCTGGAATGAGCCTATCACCAATGACTCAACCTCGCCATCCGCGTCCCGCGATCTCAGCAAACCAAACGTAACAGCAACGACGGCGCCCATCCACCAAGCGACAGACTCACCAGTCAACCCAGCTCACTACCCAGGCTTCACACACTGGACACATCCAACCTACGCATCTGAAACAAACCCCGAATCCTGGGACCAAGAAGCCGTCAACCTGGCCGCCTTACCAGAAGGCTCAGCACACCCAACCCTCCTCTTCTACACCTTTGGCCCAACCAGCCTGCACATCGCGCAACTCCTCGCCTCTAATCCCCAAACAAAGCATAACACCCTCCTAGACTCCTTCTTTGCACCCTACTACACCAAACTGCCCAACTACAACCCCAAAGACCCCTCCTGCACCCCTACAGCCATCCTAGCAACAGCCTGGGCAAATGACGAACTCGCCGGGTACGGCTCCTACTGCAATTTCCAGGTAGGGCTTGAGAAGGGTGACGAAGATGTGGAGACGTTACGAAGAGGCGTGCCTGAACGCGGTGTTTGGTTGGCGGGAGAACATTGCGCACCGTTTGTTGCATTGGGGACGGTGACGGGGGCGTATTGGAGTGGGGAGGGCGTCGCGAAACGCGTATTGCAAGCTTATGGGCTTGATGGGAATTGAGATGGCATTCGATGGGGTTGCGTCAGGGCACCGTAGCCTCATTTTCTTGACCTGCCTGCGATGGACGTGATGGACCGTTTTTGTCTTTACTCAAGGCTATCACAACTTTCGTGCATACCACATCTCAGTATATCTTTAACGACCAGCGCACAACAAGATCAGACCCAAGTCTGAGTTCAAGGCGCGCTCTTTTCTTCAATAATACGACATGCTCACTCAAACTGCGAAGTTTTCCCCGACCAAGAATTATGCCGGTGGGTCATCTGCACGAGTCGTCGCAACCCAACGCATCACCAAAGATCCTGATGATTAACTTCCGCCCTCCGCGGACATTTTCATCCCCACTATTCCTCACCAGCTATTTCTCCATCCAGACATACCTGCATATCCCCACTCTCGCATGCTACAAATGTACGCAAGCTAAACCGCGTTGTGGTCCTCGCACCGAATCCGAACTACAGACGGGGTAGGCCGTTGGCGCGCATGCCTCCGCGTTTCAGACTTCAGCTGCCCTGGCCCCATCTGCATGTCCCTCTTTGCTTTTTCGTTCGCGTGGAGGCGGAAAGGAGCGAAATACGGTTTCTAGCGGGTGATGCCGTTGGCGCGTTGGATGGGTGTCGCGGTCGCTATTGGGTGGGTTATTGATCCGGGTGTTGGAATAGAGTTTAAGGTTTGGAGAAATTTTGGTGCTGGTGGGTTGTAGATTGGTATCGCGACACGATAGGTGAGGATCGGCGTGGTCTGGGAGAGGCGATCAACCAAACTTGATGGCGAGTTGGGCTGAAGGTTTGGGTAGGTACTTGAGTATATATTCTGGGTTTGCGCTGTCAAGTTGAGCGAGTATCATCAAGTCATTCCTTCTTGTACCACTTTCCTTACTGCTGGACATACAGAGTCGTCTTTCCTTTTTTTTTGACCGTTTCAAACACATACGAACGCATACACACGCGCACATACTTAGTCGCCACACAAGATGGAACGCACATCATCTCACGGTTCATCAACCTTCGGCTCATCGGCCTTCTCATCAACATCGTCAAACAAGTCACGAATCTCGATAAGAGAACGCATGGGCAAGCCAAGCAAGGTATGTGAACTCGAAAATACGATGGTGATAGGGTACTGACATTGAGCAGTATCTGTGGCAGACATTGCTGCAGTGCAAGATCCTATGATGGTTTGGCTGGGCTGACCTGTGGGAATATTGCACGTATAAAGCTGAAGTGCGAGAGGAATGCAATGGAGGAGAAAGAATGTACATAACAGCTGCTGGGCGGTCGGGCTATCAGCAGGCTGCTAGCCAAAACAGAACAAGTTCTGTCGTTACAGGAAGAATCAAATACTGTAAAATCCTTTGCCACTCTACCCACGTTATCGTCTTGATCTCTTCACTCTACTTCCATGACTACCTCACCCGTCGCAAACCTCCATCCACTGAACGGGCTACCGGCATAAGCATACAACTCTTCCTTCGTGACTTCATCCCCATACTTCCCCCAAACGCCCTTCCATATCCCCTTTGCTTGGACGCTGTACTTCGCCGGCTTACGCTCAGGCATCCACGGCTTGTCAAATACAACCTCGACCTCTTCCTGAGTTCCAGGCGTAATCGTGACAAGTGAACTCTGCGGCGGCGGCATCTTGCGATTGACCTGTAAAACAGTCTGCTCCACATCCTCCCCACTCCTCGCATCGGTCACAGTGAAAACGCCAGTGTTGAGTGCGGAGGTGTCAAGCGGTGTATTCCATTTTAAGATCGTATAAGGAGTATCTGGGCTTGTGTTTTTGAGCGTAACGAGCAGGGTAGGCGGAGACCGAGATATTTGGCTTAGTGTAAACTCCAACCCGGGTATGCTGTTCGCACTTGAACTTTGATGCGGCATGCTGAAGTTGAGTGGGGTGGGAGACTGGTAGATGTAGAAGGCACCGAGGAGGGAGATGACGAGGCCTGTCAGGAGCGCTGTACGGGTTGTCCAGATGTTTGCCATGTTAGCTTCTCATGTGGCTGGTTTGAGCAACGCGACAATAGTAGGGGGGTTGGATGTATAAGGTTGCTGCCGAAGTGACAGATAACCGCAAGTCTGCATCCGCGACATCGCATTATGTTTACAGGCTGTCGCGTGACGAATGTGTTACGAGCGAATCATCTTGCCAGAGACAATATAAAGTGCTATCAGCCTTTGTACCTCCTTGCTCGGTACCTGCCCTGCTGGGGAGCGGGGTGCGCGGCGCTATACCCAACCTAGCTATGTGCCGGCGAGAACTCAATATATACTTCATTGCGCATCCGAGGTGAGACCGCCTATCGCTCAGAGAGATACCTTCGTGTTATATCGTAGCATGATGGAGGTTACTTGCAGCTTGATGACTTTCACGTCTGTCTGGTGGGTACTGTGCTGTTAGTGCCTTGGCGTGATGGTGCGGCTTCCAGGCTCGTGGGTGGGCCAGGAGACTTGATTAGTATCCTATCACGACACTCACGAACAAGAACTTGTACGCTCGTCCTCATCTGCTAGGTATGAATAGACTCTGTCTTTATAGACCTCGGGACATGCCTCCACACAACCCAGCATCCTCACTCTCCATGGTGAACGCATGGTTGCAGATGCCGCTGCCACCAACCCTACAATTCTACCAACCTACCCTATGACGCACTCACCCAAGTACTGCAACGACTCGATAATGGAGACACACCGTTAGCTATTCGTCGCTTTTACGAAGCAGAGTTGTTTTCGTTGGTAGAGACCTGGCCCCCAGAGGCTTGGGGGGCTGCGCCTTGCGCAAATCCGCGGACTGGCAGGACGCCTGAAAATACGCCTGATCTGCAAGTCGTCTCAAATAAGGCTGACGTCGCCACGTCCGCTCGTGATTTATTTCCTTGGTATGCATCGCGCACTGCTTCGCTTCAGTCATGAAATCTACGACGCAATTTTCCGCCGTTCGCCAGGACGCTGATGACGATGCACGAAGGAGCGCCGAATTGCTCCCCATGGCCGACAGCCACAGCGACGCCAAGTCCGAATCGCCCCAAGAATGGCCCCGAAAGGATCGCAGGACGACATTCTACGAGAAGTGGTCACCTTTCCCTTGGCGAGTAACCGGCGTCTTGTTAGCAATCCCTCTTGCGCTTGCCGGCATTGTCGGCCTCGCTGCGGCGGCGGAAACGGTATCGCAGGGCTACATCATGGGACGAGACTGTTACCCGAACGGCCTTTGGAAAGAAGCCACCGGAGCAACATGGCGCATCATGGATTCCTCCTACTTCTTTACACCGAACTTGAGCTTCGGTGCTCTCACTTTTACGCAGGTAAAGGTCATCGATGTCGCATGGGACCTGATCATTGGAAGAGGCGGACAACTCTTGTTGGCATGGGTAAATTACCGCGTCTTCAACGAGTGGCTGGTATATCACATGGAGATGCATCACACGTCCTACAAACTTTACGCCGCTGTAGCCTTCGAGACAACGACAATGGCCACGCTCGGTGTTCTAGGGAAGGAGTTCCTGGCTTATGGAGCGTGCACGTGGAAGCGCTTGTTCCGTTGGCTCGCTATTTTTTCGATGCTGCTATCCACCCTCTATGTAATCGCGTTCCCAACGCTGATGGCAGCCATGACTGGTTATATCACGACCTACCAGCCCTATATCGAGGATTTCGATGGCAATCTCATGGAGTGGAGCAAAGCTAAGGACGTGGTATACATCATCAAGGACGCGGATAGGGTGGGTTTGGAAGCACCGCTCATCGTCACAGCGGATGATCAGCCGCTTATTGATGCCGTTCACCATCGTAAGTATGTTAGGAGTATTTCTAGGTCTCAACTGACATGTCCTAGATATGAGCCAGTTCAGCGATTGGGACTACACCTTCTTCCTAGTAGGAGATTTAGACACTAAAGTACCGTCGGTTGAGATTAGATTCCCCGGCGGTTTCAATATGACTAATGGAATTCCGAACCCCAATATCACGGCTGACTGGGTGTTCGACGGCAACACGACATCGACGTTTCGCAGCCTCCGCATCGCAAGCTTCCCCACTGATGATTATGGATTAGACTCCAGCAAAAGTCTCAACAAAGATCCCAGACTTCAATACGCTTTTGAGACACGGCCAGATGCGAACCACTCCTACACCGGGTATTACCTGCTGGACCACGGATCTTGCAAGCCTAGCGAAACGTACCAATGGGGCTTCTCCTACATCTTCCTCTTCATGGTATCGATATTCAACTTTGTCTGGGTCTGCATCATGGTCGGTATGTGGCTCGATACACGACGCGGATCTATGATGTATAGAAGTGGAAGGAGGCCGGGGCTTTTGCGCAGCATTATGGATTACTCGGCTGCGATACGGGAGGAGTTGGGTGCGGAGGCGAACTACCTCGAGGAGGATGAGCTGAGGAAACGGTTGACGCAGAGTAGGGGCGCGCTCGTTGTGGAGAAGAGGGAGCTTAGGGTGACCAGGACGAGCACGGGGGCGATGACGAAGAGAGGTTGGAAGCGGGGTTTGACGAGTGGAAGCACGTTTTGAAAAGCGAATAAGATAAGATTGCTGCAAAGTCGTTCGTGGTATCATCAGAAACGTAACTAAGTCATTCTCGGCGCGGGTCTACGCGTGCGGCTCAACCCCACTGGTATTTCTCCTCGTCAACCATGGTGCTTTCTGCCCAGCACTTTTCAACCCAGGCGACGCCAACGATTCTGGCAAGTTCAGTGATCTTATTCCTTGCACCTGTCGTCGAAGATTGATCGTTCAGCACAACAAGATGCGTGACGCCTTCCGCATTTATGTCGTCAGTCACGACGCCACCGCCAAACTGAATGTAGTTCCTCGCCAGCCGTACTCTCAGCATACCATCTGGTCGTTCCTGATCGTTTCGAACGGCTGCTTTCACCGTACCAAACATATGTGTCTTAAGATGCGCAAACGACTCCCCATGATCTTCCAGTTGATCTAGAAACCCCTCTCGTTGGAACGCCTCATTATCCTCCGGCACCGGCACACCCTCCAGCAACTTCCTCATCTCATCCACATCCGCTACGTCGCGCGCATACGAATCCCCGTGCTCATCAACATTATTCTCATAATCCAGTTGATCGTCGTCATGGAGATAAAACATGTGCCTGTTCGGTTCAAACGGAAGCAGGTATGGCATGGGAGTAGTGTCTAACTCGTTCTGCCTGATGCAATCCTGGATCCAGACGGGCTTGACGATATTGTTTGTTGCGCGTTTCTCCAGCGAGGCCACTTTGATTAGTCGCTTGTCTGCGACGATGATGAGGTTCTTGTCCATGGAGTCGCGCTGTACGATTTTGCCGCCGTTGGCTTTGACTAGGGCTTCGAGATCTGCTTTGGACTTCTTTGATGGGGATATTTGCTCTGTCATTATGAAGAAACTGAGGCCTTCGAAGACTTTGGATGCTGGGCCTGCGTACGGTGTGGTGATGGCGTCGCTGCCGACCACCGTCAACGGCTTCTTCGTTGTCCTGACTTTCTTCCTTCGGGATTGTTCGATCTTGAACTCTGTTTCTTTTTCATTCTTTTCCGTTTCCGCTCTGTTCTGTACTTCCAGCCACTCTGATACTGAGAGCGCTTGATCCCATCGCTTGTCTTTCTTGAGTCTTTGGAAGCGGGGAAAGCGAAGCGTGTATCCCATACGGAATTTGTCACTATTTTCCACACTTGTTGCTTTGCACTCCAGTACAACGGAATCGCAAGGTGCAATCCATTGGTCTGGCTTCTCGTATTGCCGGTTCTCCTTATGGCCGCCCAGCTGGATGAATGGAGGCCGATATTTGACATTCCAATCAGTCCACTTACCTTCCGTTCGACTCCTTATACTAGCGTACTCTTCGGAGGTGAATCCACCACCGACCTTGAAAAAGGAATAACACATTGGGTTGTCGGCCACTATCTTTTTCTTGTCCATCAAAGCCATGAGAAAGGATGAGTGGGCGCCACCGCGATGCCCAGTGCCAAAGTATCCGCCGATAACGATGCAGTCGAGCGACTCGCCGTACTCTGACATGTATTCTGGCTTCACCTTCATCCAGTCGTTGTTCCGTTGATTGAGACAGTACATGGAGCGCGGATTCTTTAGCACCAGACCCTCGGATGACTCTGCAACGACCTTCCGTAACTCCGGTTCAATCTCGGTATGCGAGCGCGCCTCGATGTAAGGATGAATCTCCAGGCGACGTTCTATGCCCCTGACGGCACTCTCGAGGGCGCGACGTCGATCGCGTAGCGTGTACCGCGTGAGTGATTTGTCGTTCAGATAGACGCAATCAAACACTCTGAACAGTGGCCGCTGACCAGTTTTCTTGTCGGTTTTGTTCTCTTTCTCAGATATAGCTGCCGTCTTGAGTGTACCGAAGCCCACGATGTGGTCCCTCTCCATATCCCAGGTAATCATCTCCCCATCAAGGATAATGTTCCGCACGTTCTTTCCGAAGGCGCCTTCGATGAAACGTGTAAGTGCACCGGCCTCGTCGCCTTCGAAGTGTCTGCCGTAGAGGTATGCGTAGTCTTTGGCTTTACGTGACCAGAATCCAAAGGTCCTTCCGCCGGGTGCGTCGGGATCTTCAATCATATGGAGCTGCATGCGCTCCCCGTCGAGCTTCTCTTCAATCCAAAACGTATCATCGTCCGCATTTGCTTGGAAACGGTTCACCAGTTTCTCAAAGTTGCCTACTTTGTCCTGGAACTGAGCTAGCTGTGGCTGGAAGCATTGCATCAAGCTCAGCTCAGCGCTCTCGCCCGCCAAACGGATCTCCGGGTCGAAGAGCTCCCAGCACACTCGCCGTAGATTTGACGAGATATTAAACAGTGTCTCCGCGTCCGGATGCCAGATGTCGAGGAGCGTCTTCTCAGTAGCGCCGATCTTCATCTGACGGAGGATCACACGGATGAGCCAGGTCATCTCCTCCGCATTCATCCTTCGGTAAAACCGCTTGAAGATCTTGACTTGCTCCTCTTCTGCACCAACCTGCGACAGCCTATCCAGAGCATTGTTGACTTCGGCGATGCTCATGTCACTGTACTCGGTCTTCATCTGCCGCATTGACAAGACATCGTAACATCGCCCAGGAAAGTCGCCCGCAGATGCATTCGAAGCTGAGCTGAGCTGACTGGGTAGCTTCCATTGCGTCATGTGTAGGGCATCAATAGATTTGGGTTCCATGCTGATGCACTTGATCAAGATCTTGGCGATTGCCGTCTCTTTCAGACCGTACATGGCCCGATCTCTGTCCTTTTCGGGGATCATGAGACGCATCGCGGGGTAGAAGTCGTTTCCAACTTCCTTTCGCCAATTTGCAATATATCTTTCGATGATGTTGCGTTTCGCTTCATGGGATGACAGATTGGAGTGTCCATGAGGCCCAATTCTTCGACGGGCTCCCACAGGCTGCTTTCTCTTCTGTGTTTCCATGAGCGGGTTGAATAGGTCCGTGAACAGGGTATGGAAGCGGGGCGTCTTGTGGAGGTTCAGCGGCCGGGTAGGGTACTTGTCGTCGAGCTCATCGTCATGGCCATACATGAGCGTGTTCTCCCTAACCGCCTCCTCATCCGGCGTTGGTATATCGTCGGCCATTTTGGGTGCATTGGAGGAGTGAGTCGACGGGTGTAAGGTTTGTTTGTATATGAAGGCAGGGTCGTGGTTGCCTGGAAGCGGCATTACGCGTGATCACGTGGCTGTCAAGCTGCAACGAGCTAGCGCATCTCCCAAGGCTTCACCCATGCCAGTGGGTACCTACGCCGTGATTCACAAGGCTGACGATACTAATCTTGGAAACTGGGGGAATTGCGACTCCACAACACTCGTTTACCCTTTAGTCCTTCGTTTCTTTGCTTTCATGTCGCGCCAAAACACCTTTTCCAACCGCACTACTGTCCCCTAATTGTCCGTATACGTCATTATTACTCACCATCCAATGGACCGTAAATGAGCGCTGCACGTAAGCAGGGCTGGGTCCCGCAGTCGACCGGCGACACCCAACACAATGTACGGGATGCTGCGCTACAAGGTGCCGCTCGAGCCTTCTCCAAACCTCCCGCGAAACCGAAGCCTTTGGTGAACACGTATACGGGAGGAGACAATGGGGCTTTGCTCGCTGCAACCAAAGTCGGCACAGGCAATCCGGCATCCTTGCGGAGGGACCATACCGGTGGTCCCGTAGGCGTCAGTAAGCCGAACCTATCCCATTCGAACAGCACGGCATCGCTGAGCGTGCCTGACGATCACCCCGACCGCGTCTCGTCGCCCTCGAATATCGCGGCACGGCTTGCGGCAGCTCGACACAGCCCTCTGAGGCCTATACCCCAGGCCAAGGCCGTTGTTCCGCCCGCCATGAGCGAACAGCAGCCACACGAGCGGGATGCACTGCCTCCCTCGGGCAGCGTAGGGAATGTGCTTGCGAGACTCGAGTCTCAGAAGCCCACACAACAGTCGCGGAAGAGGAGAGACAGCCTAGAGTCACCTGCAGCTGCGCGCAATGCCCGACGACCAGAGCCACAACACAAGGCTACCGACGAGACGCCCATACCGCCAACAAATTCGCTCGTGAAGATGTTTGAGCAGGCGCGACCCAGCACACCCACGAAGCAGCCTTCCGCACCGATACACGTTGCGCAGAGTTCACCACCCCCTGTGAAATCGCCCAAGCCACAACGTGCGTTCAGACTGCCACCCGAGCCGAAAGATGATGCACCGCTGCAGAGAGTCAGAACGCAGACACCGCCGCCCGTCAAGCCGAAACCGAAGCACAAGATCCAGCTGCCCCCACAATATGCTGATGGCAGCAGCGATCAGGCATACTTCAATACACCCAAGAAAGACCCTCTGAAGTCTCCCCCAATCAAACAGAAGCCGGTGCAGTTGGCAGCAATCAACACATCCACGTCCCCACCTTCAAAGCCGCAGCGGAGAGGTTCGCGGCAAACACGGCCCAAGTCAGAGGACACAACGCAGTCATCGTCCTTACAGCGCCGCAGAGTGTCTGCGTCTGTAGAAAGCTATCAGTCACCGTCGACTCCCACATCTTTCAAGTCAGCCAAAGAAGACCAGGAGGAAGACGAGAAGCCTAGACCTGCTCTGCCTCCACCGCGACGATCGACCGCGCGGAAGACTGAACCTGCGCCAGCTGCGAACAAACTCCAGCCTTCAGCCCCGATACAGATCAAGCCTCGCACCCAGAGCCAAAACCCAGCCTCGATGGCTCCACTACAGAAGCTTTCGCCTCCGCGTCGACCCATGTCAGCGAACAGAACAGGGTCGCCTTCAGTGTACCATAACAACTACCAGCGAGAATCCGTCAAGCAGATCACGCAGCACATGACTGGCGAGTCTCTGTCGAGCGCCATAATGGGCGCCGCCCTAGCCTCCCATTCTCGCAACGTCTCGCCGGCCCCTCGACCTATGTCAGTCGAGCCCCTTTTCCCGCCGCGCAAACAGCATCATCACCACTCGCCCTTCCACCGATCGCCCTCGCCGCCCAAACAATCCCCTCCGAAGAGCGCCGGCAAGCTGCGAACTACAATGCGCAAAGAACCGTCATCCTCCGATGAGGAAGACAACAAGGTCGACAAGTACAAGAAGAAGGGCACACGCATTATGGGCATCAAGGGGCGGAAACACCCGAACAAGCATCATGAGGGGACACGAAAGCGATGGCGCGACCAGATAACCGAACGGGAGCGGAAACGATATGAAGGTGTATGGGCTGCCAACAAGGGTCGTCACATACCCTCACAGGATAACGCACCACCTGACGACGACCCATCAGCCGATGTACTCAACCTCCTCGTCAAAGAAATCTGGACGAGAAGTCGACTACCCACACACGTATTGGAAGAAGTTTGGGACCTCGTAGACAATAGAGGGGTAGGGAGGTTGAGCAGATACGAGTTCGTCGTGGGTTTGTGGTTGATAGACCAGAGACTCAAAGGACGGAAGTTGCCCGTCAAAGTTAGCGACAGTGTATGGCAGAGCGCCAGGGGTGTAGGAATTAAAGTCAAGATCAAGCATTGACAGTAGACGAAGATGAGAGTTAGAGAAGCATTGGCATGGCGTTGGACTTGATTGTCACTGTAGATCCTAGAGATACCCCTAATCGTAGTACAGTTTGTTTCTTTTGTTGACATACACACTATGATCATCTCTGGCCTTGTCCCTGTACTGCAGTTTTGTCTCCCATGCTCAGTAGCCCGGCGCTCCGAACGAAATTCGCAGTACTCCAAAACCCGCCGCTGAAGTCGAGATCGTACCAGTAGTTTACTGCGCAACAGATTCCTTCTTCGTTGCAGCTCTGGCTCACTCTATGGTACCAAAGTGCGGGTAGGTATAGCATGTCGCCTTCTTCCAGCGTGACTCGGAGTGGCTGCGAGTATTGGGAGTAAGGCGTGGTGTTGGCAGCAGGCTGATCTGGATCCCATGTCGCGAAAGGTACGTATTCCTCTGGCTCATCGACCTTGATAACCAGATCACCCTTCTCTAGCGCACTAGAAGACGCGCCATCCTCCCGTTTCGGAGTATAAGTCGCAGCCAGCACGCTCTTCTCATTAACACAACCCGCTTCTACAGGCGGCAAGAGGACAAAATGCTTCCGTCCCAGAACCTGAACGTAGATGTTCTCGTAATTGTCTTTGTGCAGAGCAGTCGTGGAATACGAGTTTCCAAGCCAGAAGTTGATGGCGTCGGGTTCTTGCTCAAGGGCTATACGCGCGAAGGGTATGCTCTTAGGTACGTCTGCGAAGAGCGTGGAGTACTCGTTACGCAGATTGTCGTTTTGGGTTTGCGCGTAACGTGTTGGACCGGTGTAGTCGTTATCTTGCTCTTGGCGTTGGATCTTGTTTAAAACGTCTTCAAAGGGCTCTTCGGTCTCATACGGTTTGACGAATATCGCGCCGCCTGAGGGGAGAGATACCACTGAATCGGCGTTTCCGTGGGGGGTGATTGCTACGTTGACGTTCTGGCCTTGCATGACGGTCTTCAGGTACGAGGCGTTCCATGTTTTTCTGGCTTTGAAGTCTTTGGCTCCGTTTCGTATTACGAAGGGTCGGTTGCGGGCGACGTGGCGCATGAATTGTAGGGGTGAGGGTTCAGTGGTGAGGATGTCGATTGTTGAGGGGTTGAGGTCGTGGTAGGATGTTATCAGGTCTGATTGAGATTAGTATTAGTGGCGATGCAAGATCGTAAGATACATCGAAATGCTCCGTGTTCAGTACGACGTCTGGGGCATATGATGTGACAATGAGAAATCGCCAGAGGAACTAGCCGCACGATTTGCATCGTGCTATTAAGCACTCAAACAATAGAATGATATGAAGTTGGTAGTACGAAGAGGAAAAGGAACCACCTCTTACAGCATCTTGCAACGTCCCTTCCGCATCGAGACCAGTTGGTGCAGGCCTTCACACACGATCAGTAAGACAGAGCACGATCTCATCCATGACACTCACCGCAAAGCAGCCTGCTCTGAACTTTTCAATCCCATCACTTCATCTCCAGTCTGACCCATGTTTGCGCGTTCATGTGAAGTCGCGCAAAGTTCGTGAAGTGGGATCCATGGATGCGTCATCGGGGATTCTTGCCTTTTTGGGACTAGCTTTCGAGCTACGAGTGTCACAACGCACCTGCGCAAGATTTGGTGATTTGCTTTAGTGAAGAATAATAACTATTACATACTCCTCGACTTTAAAGGGATATGCGCCTTCAGAAGAGACACAGCACGCAACAGTTGGATTAAATCTACTCGAGTTTGTAGTGTCGGATGAAGTGCTGACGAGGGCGCGGATGCAGAACATCTGGGAGTGGAGTCTTCGACAGGTTTTTTTTGGAGAGGTACAAAACACGGCAAGAGTAGAATAATATATTTGCATTGCGCTTGGAATTTGGGCCGGGTTGAGGTACTTGAAGACTAAGAGAAAAGGTACTTAGTTCCCAATCGCCTGTGGATTCCAAAATACCTTATTTGGATCCACCACTTTCTTAATCGCACTTAGCTTTCCATAAGTCGCATCACCATAGTACAATCGATGCGCCTCCGCTGGTGTCAGCTCTGGATCCAGATAATTTGGGTACGCCAAAAAGTCGCCATCGGGCTGTGCGTCTGTCAAAGCGGTATTGAGTCCTTGCACGAACGCTTTGATGCCAGACTCAAAAGGCGGAAGCATATTGGCCGAGGAACCAATATTCTATCAATTATGAGGTTAGCCAGCTGCTTAGAGGATACTGACCGATAAGTGTTGTCTGAAGGGGAGAGGAGAGGAGTTTACCTGGAAAATCCAAAGCGAATCGCGATGTGAATACGCCGCACTAGCAGGCGATGGGACATTGATCTGGCTATCCCTTCCGCCGTACAGCGAAATATACGTCTCCCATGGGGAGTCTGCGCTCAATCCCTTACTAATGACATACCCAGCAAAGCTCTCCAGTGCGCGCCGTGTAAGTGGCTTTGCCTCTCTCGTAACAATGGACTTGGTGTAGAAAGTCTGGTGGTTGTTGTAGCCAGTCAAAGGCTCAACAAGAGGTTCGCCTTCTGCGATGTCCTGCAGTGCATCGAGCCAGTTTCTGGTTGCGATCGTTGTGTTGTCGGCCTTGGGCAAACCCTCAAGCATGGCGGGAAGTACGGCGCTGGAGAAGTGTGTGCGGTCGCCAAAGTACCAGCCTCGGACTTCGAAGGTGCCGAATATGTTCATGTAGATCTCAAGTGTGATGTTACGGTCCATGAGAGGAGAAGATTGGGCAAACTTCTGCAACTGGAGAAGGACGTCGGCGACGGAAGATGAAGACTTCAGTGCGGAAGTGAAGTTCATGGAGTAGCTGACGATCTGTGCCGGGGCGGGCTGGGTCTGCAGGTAGAAGGTAGTCACGATACCGATGCTATCTGCAGCTCCACGCAGAGCGTAGTAGAGTTCGGGATGGGTAATGCGTGTGACATGAAGCTGAGTTCCATCGACCAGTACAACGTCCATTGCAACGATCGTGTCGAGTGCCAGCCCTAAACAACATCACGATTAGCTACAGTCGTTACATATATTTGCAAAACAGCGGTACTTACCCCAGCGACGAGAAGAGTATCCGAAGCCTCCATGCGTATAGTGCCCTCCGATGCCAACGCCCGGGTATGTACCGTGAGGCAGTGCGGCCTGACCTTGCTTGTATACACCCAGTCCGAGGTTTCCGAGACGCACGCCGCCTCCTGCTCGAACGATACCAGTACCTTGTGACCTGTTAGCAAAGATCATGAAGAAATGAGTAAGCTGCCTGCCTTTATCCAGAGATACCTCATTAAACTTTTGTAAATCGATCGTCAAGCTACCATTCTTGCCACCGAGAGAGTAGCTCCCGTACGAATGTCCTCCAGACCGGGGCTGAACTTTGATGCCAGCTGCAGCTGCGCATGTTATTGAATCGGAAACTTGCTGTGGAGTTTCTGGTATTGTCACGGCCACTGGGGTGTACTGGAGACGGAGGTTGAATGCGGCGGTGAGAGAAGTCCAATCTGAGGAGGAATTGAGAGTAGTAGGGACGGCTTTTGCGTGAAGGCAGTCCTGTAAGGCTTGGTGTTGTCGATTGACCAGATGGTCTCGCGGATCAGCGAAATCAGCGATGGCGTTCGATACGAACAGAAATAGTAGAGATGTTGAAAGCATGTTTTCAGTCAGTTGCTCTTTTGCGACTATACCTCCGGGTTCCTGGTACTACATCTTATACAAGCACTCCACCAGCACTACATGCCAAGTTCACCGAGCTCCGGAAACATAAGGTCACACCAATACTATCTGGTTCTCGTAATTGCGAAGCAACCGAGCAAGCAATTGCCCGTTCCAATCTCGTTCCAATTTCCGGATGAAGCTGTTTGCTAGGTTTGGCCAAGTGTCGAACTTCTAACGAGAGTTAGCTAGAGCAACACGTAAGACGATTGGTGAAATGCAGTGGCTTTGCCTGGGGCATTGCGACGCAAAATCCCTGTTATGACGCGGAATCGGTACTGACGATGAAGGCATGTCGGCTAACATGATGCCAAGTCCTCCGACGGGAACTTCCGAAAACCTGATAGCGCTTTCCCATGCAAGGAGTCCACCACAAGTCAGCATCTTTGACCTCGATGATGGTCTAACGACAACACCGCGCCAGCATTGTGGACCGCCGCGGGCACGCCATCACAGACAAAAGATGCTAGAGCGATAGTAAAGCTCAGGATCCGATTGTAATGCCGCCACCATGGAGCACCCTCAACCGCTCCGGCTTTGTCCAAACCTTAGGCCGCAAGTACTTGCAACACTATTCTCCGAACCAATTTGCTAATACACCAATAGGTAGCGCGCTCACCGTCGCAAAAGGCTTTGTCTTCCTCCACGTATGCTCTTCCTACATTGGCGGCATATCCTCCACCAGCGGGATCTCCATGGTACCTACGATCCCCCACCATTATAAGGGCCACCCATGGATACTATACTCGTCGCTTCATCGTCGCGGTCGGAACCTCCGTGTGGGCGACATCATAACCTATAACCACCCTATATTCCCTAAACAAAGCGGGTGTAAGCGCATCATTGGGATGCCAGGCGACTTCGTCAGTATTGTCACGCCTGGGCGCGGGGAAGATGATGTACACGCAGTGGATCATGAGGGCAAATGGGCGAGCGTAAGGGAGGAGGTCATAAGAGTTCCAGAAGGACATTGTTGGGTACAAGGCGATAATCTGGAATGGAGTAGGGATAGTAGACTGTTTGGACCGCTGCCGTTGGCGTTGGTCAAGGCGAAGGTATTGGCTGTTGTGCGGCCGTACGGGGAGGCAAAGTGGATTAAAAACGAACGTGATGTTGTGGATGTAAAAGAGGGGGAAAGAGAGTGGGTGTTGAAGTAGAAGGAAGTATCACGGGAGGAACAAAATAATACTGGGGGGTAGTATACAAGGGAAAGAGTTATTCAGTCGAGGCAAGCTATATACCCAAGGATCCATCTAAAGAGCAAAAGAAAACCGACAACGCATCAATACGTCGAACAAGCTACGTCATCAATTGTTGTCATTGGCTTGCCTTCCAGGCCAAAACAAGTTTCGAATCTCATCATCCTGTTCATTCATCATGTCCACAGTGGCCAGCTCGGCAGCAGCTTGAGCGCGAACGCGCAGGCGCGCCAAGTTCGACATGCGTGCAAAAGCGGCTTCATCGTGCAGCTGAGTCAGACCAGGAAAGCCATAATACTCGGCGATCTCTTCTTCTGGGACATCGTCGCCACGACCGGCCAGCAATGCGACACGACGAGCTCGTGCTAACCTACTCGGCGCGATATCGCGTGTTGGGGCGATAGGTTCGGTGGTGTTTCGCGGCGGATCCGGGTATATGGTTCTTCCAATGATAGGACCTCGAGCCGCAGACTGCGTAGGTTGTGGAGGAATGTTGTTGGTTGCTGAGGATTCTGGCGTCTGACTGGCGTGTCCCCTTGAGGCTTCATCTAGCAGTGCCTGGAGTTCTCCCTGCAGTCGTGTTGCCCTCACTCTGTTTGAATGGAACGTCGCATTGACACCAGCAACTCGGCTGCTGGAGTTCAAATTACGTGAGGATCTGGCTTCTTCAGCGGCTCGTAAGTTCGCCATAGCTTCAATGCGTGTCATCCTGATGCTGGGGACATCTGACGAGGCATCCGACGAGCTGTCTTCTCTAGCAGCCTGTCTAGCTAACATGCGTTGGCGTATGCGTGCCCTGATATTGGGACTCGATTCATCTGACGAGCTGTCTTCTCCAGCAGCCCGTCTAGCTGCCATGCGTTGGCGTCTGCGTTCCCTGATGGTGGGGATCGAATCATCTGACGAACGGTCTTCCTCTGCGGCTCGTCTATCCAACTGTTGAAGCTCCTGTCTGCTGTCGCGCCTGATTCTGTTCAACTCTGCCAAGTTTCGCTCGAGGTGTACTGCTTCGGCACTGTCGTGTAGAAGCCCATCTTGAAGACGCGCCGCTTCCAGTTGTCTCATTTCTGCCACCGCTAAGTCATGCCTAGATTGCAGTCTAGCCCGTTCTTCTGCTCTTCCCGATGCCGTTGTCTGGTCGGCGGAGCTGGCTGCTGCTTCCAATTGTCTCATTTGAGCCACCGCTAAGTCTTGCCTAGATTGCAGACTAGCCCTTTCTTCTGCTCGTCCCGATGCTGACATCTGATCGGCGGAGCTGGCTGTTGGCCTACCACCTAAGGCGTGGTAAGCCGGTTGCCTACGAATTAGCTCTTCGATTTCTGGGGCTTCTCCATCCGCAACCATCTGTGACATTCTTTGCATAGTGTTCCTCCTATTTTCTGTGGAACGCACAAGGGCACCATCTTCAAGAGCCTCCTCCATACTACTTCTCCAGGGAGCATTTGGTGAGCTCACAGACTGGAATAAGACACGTTCTGAACCGGGCGGTAGCCTATCAAGCGCTGCGCGGACCTCTTCATCCTCTCGTTCCTGCTCTCGTTCCTGAGCAGTCTGTCTCAGCCTTCGCATGAGTTCCCTACTTTCCGGAGTCATCTGTCTAGACATCTCAGCTTGGGTTCGCCTTGCCCATCCCCTGATGGACTCTGGTGTATTTGCGGAACGGATGTTGCGACGATCAAAGTTTACCGGTTCCGTATGAACCGATGTGCGGGTCGCGGCAGTCTGTCGTCCCAAAGCGGGCTGAGTCCGTCTTAGGTCGTTTTCCTCAACTCTTTCCGCACGCCTGAAGGCCTGGCGTTCTGCCTGCATTCTCCGCTCCATGATACCTTCTCGGGTGCGAGCATAGCTCGTTGATGGTGCTGGAGCTGGCGCAGCATATAGCTCACAGCGGCAGTTGGGACAAGTGCGGTTTCGTCGTCCATCGCCTTGGAGCCAAGTGAGCAGGCAGACAGCGTGGAACATGTGGCCGCATGGGCGAGCTATCTGTACCACATCCTCGGCGAGGTGTTCGGCACAGATTGAGCAGTCTGATTCTTCGGGCTGGGGCCCTGCTGGTACGATGCCGGTCATGAAGAACTCTCCTTGGCTGCGGAGAGCGGGCATGTTGGACGGCGGTGTGGTGTTGGTCTGTGGGACAGCAGGCTCGTTAGAAGACGATGATGTATCACTAGACTCCGGAGGTCCACGCCCGACGTAGGAGTCCATATTTACGGCTGGGCTGGTTAGAACTATTGGGTGGGACTGGAGAGTCGAGTGTGGGTTGAGGAGATTATCTGTTGAAATCCAGCGGGGATCACACAATATAGGCTCCTCTTTGTTAGACTGTGAACAGCATTGGACTGTGGCTGTACAGCACTGTGGCGAGATGGACATTCACAATGTAAGATCCCATGGGCAGGATCTATGACCTACTACTTTCACTGCCTCTTCTGCAGTCTTGGGTGAAATATATATCACGATGATCGGGGCTTCCGCGTCCTCAGGCCTTCACTCGCGACATTAGTCAGGAACCGGGGCTGACAAACAAGACATTTGATCAACGATTTCTATTGTATTTGTTCGATGTCTAAATCAAACCGTTGATGGCCCCGTTGAGGTAAATCTAACATTGATAGCCAACGACGCATCATTGACACTAGCTGCACCATGAACACTCTCTTTTCACCCCACTTCAAAGCTCAAGGGGTCTTATGCATTGTCTCTTCAAACGCGCTCAAGCTTTAATCGCACCCAAATCGCCCAAACCGCGCTCATCATTCTCCTCTTTCTATCATGCCTGATATCTCAACGTAACAAGTCTAGCTTGATGCCTCAGGGACATCGGCGCTGTTGTCATCTTCTTGGGGCGATGCAGACCGTGCTTCACGAGAACGAAAGCGCTGTGTATCTGATGCAGCGGCCTCTTGTGCTTCCCGATGGAAAGAAACCGGACTACGACGCCCCCGAGGACGTTGCCTGAAGGCAGTAGAATCTGTTGATGCGTTCCTGAATGGTAGTGAGTCATCATGCATGTGCCTCACGACGGTACTAGATACGCGACGTGGATTTTGTACTGACTGTGTGTCTTCCGCGGCTGCACCCTGGTTGCCTTCAGAAGCAGGCTGAGCAGCGGCTACGGTATCAGAGCGTGTAGTCAAAGCGGGCAACTCAGGCAACGTAAATCGTTCATCGTTGAAGTTTCGTCTGTGAAGCATGTTGCTGTTTGTGGCGGTGCGGGGACCGTCTGGAGAGAAAGGAAAGAGTGGGCTATGGACTCTTGAGACGTCGCGGTCGAAACCTGGAGGGGAAGGATGTACATAATGTGGTGACCCTGACGATCCATTCGAAGCCGAA